GTATGTATGTAGCCGCTACCACCCTCTGATGTTGCTACTACTACTACTACTACCACTGCTACTACTACCGCTACTACTACTACTACTACCGCTGCTGCTGCAATCATGTCTGTCGCAGACTCTGAGCTCCAAGTGCAACCGGATGGTACTTGCACACGTACCCGGGTATGTGATACTCTCACTCTGTCTTGGGTATAAACGTCGTTTTCTGCGTTGCAATGCACCTGTTGATTCTTGCATGTTGAATACCAACGACTGCTTCCCGGCCGCTGGTGCGCCCTTCTGGCCCTCAACCGCCTCTCTAGCACGTACCCACCTGTCTTCTGCCTTTCTCTATTCATCCTTTATTGCCATATGCTGTCGCCCATTCGTGTCTCGCCAATTTTCATTAATGTTCCCTTTAATATCCTGTTGTTTGTCTTTTCTACTTTGCTCTTGCGGCTCGGACTGTCATGTGGATTTTAGGATTTACTTGATTATCGCATACATCGTCATCGTCATCATCATCATCATCATCATCATCATCATCATCATCATCGTCATCGTCATCGTCATCATCATCATCGTCATCATCATCATCGTCATCATCATCATCGTCATCGTCATCATCATCATCATCATCATCATCATCATCATCATCATCATCATCATCATCATCATCATCATCATCATCATCATCATCCTTTCTACTATTATTGTTATCACGATGATTACTTTTATAATCATTATCATTTCCGTTATTGGTATTATTATCATTATTGCACATTACTTTTTATGTTGTTAGTTTTGTGGTCGTCGTCATTACTTATGAATTATTTATATGAAGATAAACAGAATTGCGAGTTGATAACAAATGATCTTGGTTGTCATTAGTACATTGATACATTAAACATTTCACCGATTTAGTTATACATTTAATGACCAGGTTATTAATTGGGAAAGTTTAATATCATCAACATCGACAATGCAATTTACATCAGCTGATTAATCTCATTAAATGATGTTCATATGCTCCTAAAAATTCACATATTTATATATATATATATATGTGTGTGTGTGTGTGTGTGTGTGTGTGTGTGTGTGTGTGTGTGTGTGTGTGTGTGTGTATTTATATATATATATATATATATATATATATATATATATATATATATATATATATATATATATATATATATATATATATATATATATATATATATATATATATATATATATATATATATAGTATATATATATATATCTATATATCTATATATATATACATATATATATACATATATATATATATATATATATATATATATATATATATATATATATATACATATATATATATATATATATATATATATATATATATATATATATATATATATATATATATATATATATATATATATATATATATATATATATAACATATAGACATAAAAATAAAGTACAGATTATTTACAATGCATTATCCTCACAGACTAGCATAACTTAACGCTGAATGTCAAACTCAACATCACTTTAACCTTTTGCACTCATCACAAGCAAAGACTCGTGTTGCCTCTGTTGCATTCACTCCACAAGTTGCACGCGAGGGGGTACGTTGCCACACGCTGCAACGGACTATTGTGTGTGTGTGTGGTTGAGACTTACCTGGGATTTCGGTTGTGAATAGTGAGACAGGTATGTGTGATTGGCTTGTTAATTGAAAAAAAAAGTTTTAGAATTTCTGGTATCGTTTATTTTTCTCTTTTTTTATTGGGGGGGGGGGTAGGGGAGGTGGCAAAAGAGTGTTTTTTTTGTGTTTGGTTTTATTTATCTTGTCTGTTTTATTTACTTATTTTATAGTCGTGTGTTTTATTATTTCGCTTTAATCTTATTTGCATGTCTGTTTTGTCTTTCGAAATCCTCGCAAATTTTTTCATTTCAAGTTTGTCTGTATGTACAGAGTCACATTAAAATATCACTCAGAGTGTCCTGCTATAAAATTACAGAATATGTGAAACACGCATAATCGAAACGAATATGAAAAGTGAAGCATAGTAAGATAATATTTTTGTCTGTACTCTTCCTCTCTTTAAACATTTAATTTCTTTCTCTACATAGATTTTTAAAAAATTTGTTTAAGTGATTTTTCTAGATAAAAATTATTATTTTTATCCGGTCTTCAAATTCTGTTTCTTTTTAGAAACCTTTTTAAAATCTATTCTTTAAATTCTTTCTCTATTCAGAAACCATTATTTTTAATCCGCTCTTTATATGCTTTCTCTATTTGGGCATTTTAACCCTTTCAAATTATAATATATTTTTTCATTTTATCCCATTAAAGTTATTATTTAAATGTTTAACATCTCAACCTATTGAAATAATTATTTAAACCTATTCTTTAAATCATTTTTCTATTTTCACATCATTTTAAAAACCTGTTCTTTAAACTCTTTCTTCTATTAAGTCATCATTTTAAAAACCTGTTCTCTAAATGCCTTCTTCTATTTAGACATCATTTTAAAACCTATTCCTTAAATTCTTTCACCTTCCCTCCCCCCCCCTTTTTCTCTCAGTGAAGATTAAAAGTCGTCGCCTTCTTAATCAACAACCGTAACAGTAGCTGGCAAACCTAGGGAAAGACAAACCACGTGACTGTTGTAAAGATGGTGTGGATTTAATTTTATCTTTTCGCCGAGAAAATGCGGATGAAAAGAAAAAAGAAAAACAAAACAAAAAAACACGCCTCATTTGGATTCCCCTTGCATGGTTAATAGGGAGGGAGAGGGAGAGAGAGGGGGAAAAGGAAGAGGGATGGGGGAGGGATAGGAAGAGAAGGAGGGGGTAAGAGGAAGAAGAAGAAGAACTAGAGGGAGAGGAAGAGAAGAGGTGAATGAGAAGGGGAGAGAGGGAAAGGGAGAGGGAGGGGAAGGGGGGAGAAGAAGAAGGAGAGAGAGAGAGAGAGATTGAGAGAGAGAGAGAGAGAGAGAGAGAGAGAGAGAGAGAGAGAGAGAGAGAGAGAGAGAGAGAGAGAGAGAGAGAAAGAGAGAGGGAGAGAGAGAGAGAGAAATTGGCAAAGGTAGATAAACTTAAGAGACATTATAGAACTGGACAGAGAAAGACTAGGAGGAGAGGGGGGGAGGGTATCACGAACAGATTACTTCATTTTCACATTAATTCCATAAACGTATATACAGCACAAGGCATCCACATAAATAACACAAGTCGTTAATCCGTGAATCTCTCGTTGCTCTAAATCTCACAAAATAAAGGCCTACTTTTACTAATGATTCTCACGTCTACACAAACCCCCATAGTCTTTTTTTCATTTGTTTTTAAGGCTTGCGCAAAATAACAAAAGAAAAAAGAGAATAAAACTCACTATCTCCTTCTTTTTCAGTGTTGGAGGAAACTTTCACTTTTGAGACTTTTCCTCCGTTTTCTTCGCTCCAGAGATTAACGAAAAGCCTTTTTTTTAAGAAAATGGAGACCATTGTCTTATGAATGAATGTTTGGATTACTTCCATTCACAAATTTGCACAGTGGCGTTGCTATAGTAAATAAGAAGTCACTTTACCGTTACTTGGTGTGTGAGATATCTAAGATTTTGTGAAAATGTTTTTTTTTATGATCATTATTGTTATTATTATCATTTGGGGTTTATATTAAATCCATGTAATATTTTTGGCTTCTAAAAAAATACTAAAACCATATTAAATCTCGAGTGCTAGTTATTTTTTGCAGAAAGTACTATTACAGATTACCCGAATCACTCTGTATACCACACGTCGTGTATTTTCTAAGGAATAATATTATATTGTCAGACTTTACATTGTAGACTTGTATTTCCGTTCGCCGCAAATAAGTAAAATGATGCGTATATATCTTCTCTCCTGGGGTTCAATTACCATAATCTTTCATCAAGTTGTCGAGTAGATGTGTGTTTATTTGCATTCTTTGGACCAAAATACATTATTTCGCGTGTTTACTTTTACCACAATACTGACATCTGTGTTGTGTTTCTGGCATATTTTGCGGTAAATTCTAGACTCGAGTTCTTTGTCGGTATCTATATCTACATGTGCATCAATTTACTTCTATCTATATCTATATGTCTGTCGGTGTTTGTCTATATCTAATATCAATCTATCTCTCCACCTATATGTCTGTCTGTCTTTCAGTCTTGAGTACTCACACACACACACACACACACACACATGCGCGCATGTGTGTGTGTGTGTGTGTGTGTGTGCGTGTGTGTGTGTGTGTGTGTGTGTGTGTGTGTGTGTGTGTGTGTGTGTGTGTGTGTGTGTGTGTGTAAGCGTGTGCGTGTGCGTGTGCGTGTTCGTGTGCGTGTGCGTGTGTGTGTGTGTGTGTGTGTGTGTGTGTGTGTGTGTGTGTGTGTGTGTGTGTGTGTGTGTGAGTGCATGTGTATGTCCACGCATGAATATGTATACGCGTGCATATACCGCTATCACAAACCATACCCTGCGTTTTCACCCCGAGAACTACATTCATAAGTATAGCCCCGACGTTTTCATTAACTCAGATCACTCTTATTGGGACCGGAACAGCCACGCACGAGACTTATTGGCACACTGATTTAACCTTGACCTTTCCCCAACTAACCTGACCTTTTTTCCCTTAAGTAATCTGAAGTTCCCTCTTTGTAAATCCTTAATGATAGCACTCTGTTGTTCATTCACCTCACGCGCGTGTGTGTTAATCCTCAGGATGGTTCTGAAGCAGCGCACTTGCATGTTAATTTGCTATAGGTGTCACTTGGCACTTAAGTGGTTTGGGGACGAGTGGCACTGGTACTGTTTTTGTTTTTGTTTTTATTTGTCTCTGTTGCTTTATTGTTTTTGTGTCTTTTCTTGCTAGTATTGCTGTTGCTGTTGATAATAATTATTATTATTGTTATTATTATTATTATTATTATTAATGTTATCACTATTATTGTTGCTAGTATTATCATTATCATTATTGCCATTATTATTTTTATCATATTGTTGTTGTTG